AGGCCTGGCAGGCTTGGCTGCCGGCCTCCCACCCCCTGAGCTTGCAGGTGGGCTGCCTGTTTGCTGTGGCCCCCCGGCGAGGGGGGCTGGGGGCGTCCGCCAGGGCTCGCGTTGGGTGAGGGGGAAGAGCTGGGTGGGCGTCTAGCCACTTGGCTTTCTGTGTTCTTCCTTATAACTCTTTATCTTTTCCCTAAGCTCCCGCAAAGCGATGAGAGGTAATAATATTTGATGGCAACTTAATTCTGTTTGTTTATTGTTTCATTATGTCCGCTTAACGTTCCCTTGTCAAGCAGGTCATTTATCATCGTATGGTTTTTCTGATACTTCTTTCCAGTAACAGGTTTTCATATTCAGTTGCCTGTTCCCGAGGAACTTAAGTTTCTTATCGCTGAGGTGGCAAAAAAAAGCCCCAACCCTAGAACTGAAAACACTGGAGCCACGTGCCTTGTGAGGTGCCATTCATTCAAATCCTCTGAAATAACCAGCACTAGAGTGAAACTGGCTTGGTCCTCGCTTCCTGGAGCAAAGTGAAAGTGATTAGTATTTGTCATGGTGTTGAACCTTTGAAGAGAGCTATGAATAGATGTGGAGCTGAATAAGGAAAGAACCCCCAAATCCTCTTGTGAGCAAGAAAGCTTGGTGTAACTTGGTGTTAACTCAGTGGCATCTAGGAAAATGAGGAAAGGCAGGGCAGATGTAAGTGCTCTTTTTTACTCAGTAGAAAAAAGGAAAATCCTGTTCAAAGGGAAGGGGAGCTTCTGTCTTCTAGAGAAGTGGCCTCCAATTTTTTTTTAGCTGCACATGCCCCTCCTTAGCATGCACCCCCGATATATGTATATTTATTGATTTATCAATTATATACAGGTACTACTGTACAGATATATACATTGTAAAACAGAAGTTAGGATAAGATGTAGATAAAATAAACACTATTTTAAAATATTATTCATTAACATTACAAAAAATGTTTTCTTCCCACACCTCAGTGGATTGTCTTGCATGTGTGATCCAGTTTAGAGACCACTGTTCAGAGCACTTACGTTTCAAGATTTGATCAGGACTGCTCTCTTCTAAGCAAGTAGAAGCTGGGTGTTACATCAGTGCTAGTGCCACTGCAGGGGAAGCTTTTTCATTGGTTTACAGTTATTGCCTTTTTCAGCAGGTAAAGTCTTGTTAGATCTTTGAAAACAACATTCTTTTCTGTTGAAAGTAAGTTGTGTAGGTGGACTAAGCTTGGCTAGGGCCATGTAGTGACAGAACTGGGCACAATACTTTGGGGGAACCATGCTTTAGCAAGTTTATGTTATTCTGAAGTGATCATTCTTAATTTCATAAGAATATAAGCATAACCAGCTGCTGAAAACAAAGAATATATTTTCATGACTTTTTTTTTTAATCCATATGTGTAGGAACACAAATACCTGGCATTTGAAGATATCAGTGAAATGCTGTTTTATCTTTTTTGTTTTCTCGTACACCCACATTATATGCTTGTTAGAAGGGAAGAGATACTCAGCATTTCTAGAACTACACCAGTCACTGCCAAGTACTGTAACTTTGGAGTCCAGGAAGTTGAGGGAAAGTGATTAATTTTTTTTTTTTTGTCCTTAGAAATCTGGCATGTCTCAAAATAGAAGTTGGGATTACTAATTCTAAGGAGATCTAGGCTTAGAAATGGTGGCTAAAGCAGAGTATTCAGATTAGTCTTAAAATTCTTAAGTTAGCTTTTGTACAGGATACTAGCAGTTTTCACAATAGAAAACCTGAAGAGTGTGTGATCTGACCCCACTGTCTTGATTGCAAATTGAATATTTTTCTCTTTTGGTTGCTCGTGGCATGGCACATAGAGGTTAACGTGACAGGTGCACCTTTTATGGCTCAGAAAAGGGAGAAGAGAATCGTGGTTCTTACATTGATGTTTCTTTAGCACCTGAGAATAAGGTTCAACTCTTCTATGTGTACCTGCTTGTTAAGAGGTGACTATAACAAATTCTAGTACTTCACAATAAAGTGACCAAGAGGAGAGTGATTCTTACTGTTTTCCATCTTCTGTTCTTGCAGGACATCCTCCCTCAACAAGTCTAGGCTTCTGTGTCTGAAGGCCAGGGACTGCGCAGAGAACTGAGAAGACGTGCTGATTTCCCTGGTGCTGGTAGACTTCTGAATGAAAGCAGTGACTGTGAGCTGTGTTTTTGCTTTGTACCTGCACAAAGTTATTCTTATTATCAGAGCACAGGAATTGAGAAAATCATAAACTGATGTGTTCAAGTTAACTTTGTAAGCTTTCTTTGTTAGTGTGTCTGTTCATAATGTGTTTAAATAAAGGGTTGCTTAGTATCGAGGTGTGCCCAATTAGCAAGGTATACCTTCTCACCTGCCAAAGCAAGCTCAGCCTTCCATAGTAAGTGCTTCTCTTTGATTAAATAGGATTTGTTTTAGGGCCAGTTCTTGGATGAGATTTTTTTCAAGCTTCCCACTGACAGGGACAAAGGTTGCAGGCAAATTTGGAGCATGTTTCACTAAAACAAGTTGTTATAGGTTTCTGAATTCTTGCTGTACGTCCTGCCCTCTCTAGGCTGTGGTTGAAAAACTTAAGTACTCCCACTCACTGTTACTGAAGTGCCCACAGAACTGTGCTGATTTTCTTGAGTGTTGTGGCATGTGCTGTGAGAGACTGTTAGATGTTAGAGCACAGGTGAAGAGGCTGCACTTATAATAACGGGGATACTCTTCTGATAGTGATCTGTGAGAGAAGGGTAACTCAAGGGAACATGCATGTACTGTTTCGAGGACAGTAGGTGAATAAAGAAAGGTTTGTCTTTTTTCTTTTTGCTAGCTGTTCATGTACCCTAATAAAATGCCCTTTCTATCTATAATTTGATTGGCTTTGGAGAGTTCCCCAAACTAGCTTGCTTTCTGCATTCTTTTAAGCTTTTTTATTTTTTTACTTCCATGGTTTCTCTTAGAGAGGGGGAATATTTCTTGTGTTCATGGGAACTCTTAAACATCAGTTCTTGGTTAAGACATGAAGAGTGGTGGATAAAACCACTTCAACACTAAGTGTTCACTAGGTATGAATTTACTAAGAACAGTTTGTTTTCAGAAAACACTATTATTTTCCCCAGTGGATTTGTTCATGAAAGCAGCTAAGGGTAGTTGGTGTCTATTTGAAATATACAGTGCATGTAGTAACTAAAACTTTTATTAGTAATGTAGGTCAGTCTTCATTGGCAAGATCTGCAGTGTTGGCCATGTTGTATTGCTGTCTGTCTACAGAATGGGCTTTTTCCTGCTCCAGTGGCATAGTTGCTCTAGTGGTGTCAGTAGTGCAGCTGTTGGCTCAGATGGCAGCCATTAGTGTTTACTATGTCTAGTCTGATACTGGTCTTTGAGTTTTGAGAGCAAAACAACTGGATCTGAGTTTACACATGCACTGCTAGTGTTACTCCCAGTGGGACTGGTGAGATGGTAAGCAATTTAAAACAGACTAGTCTTGTAATAATCTCTTCCATAATGAGATTGTTGGGATGTATCTGTTAAAGCTTTTTGTATGCAAGTTAATCTCACAGAGGGTTAATTCTTATTAAAGGAATAACATGCATTGTTCATACCTATCTATGAGGGACAAGCCTGAGACTGACATTCTATTTCTGAAGGGTTACTTAATAACAGTTTGATAAGGACAGCTTTTGGTGAATTGCAGCTAGAGCTACTTTTGAATGACTGTGTTTATCTGGGAGAAATCTTCGTTTTGTGTTACAGGGGAACAAAACCAATTACGGTGGAGTAACTGAATACTTCCATGTTCTAAGTTTACTAGGAAATCTTCCTTGTTCCTTGACTTTACTCTTGCAAATGCTGATGTGTTTTGGAGAAAACTTGTCTTTCAGAAATGACATTAAGAACATTACTGACTAGGTTTTTTTTTAATAGTAAATATGTTAAATGGAAGCTGTGCTAAGTTGTCTTCAAAGAGGCTTATTAATGAGTTTGATCCTAGAAACAACTGATCCTGCTGTCCTTTGCAGGAGACTAGGGCAATAGCTGACTTTGGCTGACTGATTTCAGTCTTTTGGACCGTACATCTTACACAGTGTACAATGAATAGCAAAATAAATGTTATACTTCACTGTTTCTGAAATTCTTATGACTTGGGTTGTTCGTACTGTTCTTCAGGTAAAAGGGAATCTAAGACTTTGGAATGTGTCTCTTGGGCGTTATGGCTGGGATAAGTAGAGGTGAGCAGCTGACACCCTTAGCCCGTAGCTCAAAAAATTGCGATAGCATGAAAATGGGAAGGGTTATTTTATTCAAAAGACTGAATGGCATAAAGTTTTGTTACTATGATAAAAATGCGTGAGGTACGTAAGAGAATGAGGACAGTGAAAGTGTCAGTTATTAATTGAATTCAAGAGACTTAAGACTGGCGGAATTTATTTCTGAATGCTTTTTCCTTTTTTTTTTTTTTTTGTCCTGCTAACTAGTGCAGAACACCGAGGATTTCTTGGCAGTTCAGTGAATTACCAGGGGAATGTCTACTTCTGTTTTACTGTTGTGTTCAAATATGAAAAGATAAATTCATAGCTTTAATTATACAGCAGTGTCTGAGGGATTGTTGCAGCCAAAAGAAACTCTCAACAAAGTGTTCTTAATTGCCCTTCAAAATATTTGTCATCTGTAGCACTTGCTAGGACTTTTAAGTGGTGGTATGTATGATTTACGATTTTTGCTTGGGGGTGTAATTCTGAAGGAGCTTGAGCCAGTGAATCTTTGCTGCTGTTGCCCTCTGATGCTAGCACTCATACATGTTTTTTGGCAAACTGTTTCGAAGAGCATATGAGATGAAAACTTTTTTATCTAGCTGGTAAATTAGTTCAAGGACTTGGACAAGTTGAAAACCAAACAGTTTGCATGAACACTAGTGTATGTGTGTGGGAGGTGAGTGTGGCTGGTTGTGAAGAAGACAGTAATAAGATGGGGAAGTGGTAAGGCCCATCTTTTAACTGTAACATAAAACTGTACAATGTATGCAATCAAGGGGGTCTTCAACCTTAGCTGCTCTGGAACCATACTGATACAATAAACAGTTGCTGAAAGGCCAGTTCTCTTCCTCCTGATGCTTATCTGATTATTCAGCAAGTTCAGGGAATGTTACTGTCAGTAAGGGGCATTGCTTTGCTTCCGCTTTAGCCCCCTGAACCAGCTCGCTGCGTTTGTGTGCACCACTTCTGGCTCAAGAGAAACAGACAAGGGGGTTGTGGGAGGAATAGGACAATCCCTTTAGGCGCCACTAGCTGTGATGTTAAATTAAACTGCACTGGGTAACTAGCTACTCAGATGGTACAACTGTTACCTGGTTTGTCCCTTGGATGTGGTAGATGTCCCAGCGACTGCAGAGAATGAGAAATATTTGGGGATTTTTTTAAATAGCAAGCTTAATGGATGACTAAGGAATGTTTTTTATTATTATGGTGGGACCTAAATGTGTACATAAGCCTGCAGTACAGTTGCTTGCTGTAGTTGGATGGGTTCTCAGTCTTAACCAAATGGTGGTTAAAGCAGGTCTGACTTAGCTGTGTCTGTTCTGTAATTCCTTTTATTTCGGGTAAGTGGTATGACATGAATTTATGTTTCTTGTGAATTTTTGTGTGTGTAACTCAAAGAAGCAATTTGTTTCTCTTGGAATTCCCTTGGTTGCTGTTTCAAAGCCTTGGACATAGGATGGTGTGTTGTTTTCTAACTTTGGAATACTCTTTGCTGAAAACTAGTAATTGACAAAGCATCAGTAATGCAAATGAACTTTTTTTTTTTTTAAGAATGGACTGTCTTTGTCATTTGTGTAAGAATAGGCTAAGTAATGATCTCAGGCTTATGACTCTGGGGTGATAATTATATGTTGATCAAAGGTTGAATATCTGATGTAATGGGGTTAGTGTCCCATAGTAGGGTTCAAAATGTGCTGTGCCTGACCATATATGGAAAGTGTCAGTCTCCATAGTTGGAAAAGCAGTGGAGAGCTGTGGCAGAACAAGTTCTGGTAATAGTATGAGACTATACAACAGAGAAAACAGATCAACACCAAACCAAGTGCTGAAAACAGTAAGCTGTGAATCTTCATTCACACTTTTAAATCTGGAGTGAGTTAGCGTCACATTTCTGCCAAGTAGACTTGGGGGGTGGAGGGGAATGTTCCTGGTACAGGATAAATGGCACAGAAAGGTGAGGGAATGCAGCTTGGTGTACATTTTAGTTTTAAGTTTTTTGTTTTGTTTTTGTTTTTTACTGGTATTCTAAACCTTTTCCCTTGGTACAGTGCTCCTCTCATGTCCCACTTCCTCACAGCTTACTTTAAGAATAAGCATAATGTTCCTTGTTTGCATTTTCACTTATCCAGCGCATTGACAAAGAAATCTTCTGATACCCAAAGGGTAAAAAATTTAAGACTTATTGAAGAAAGATATTCCATTTAAAGCTACCATATCTTCAAATACACAAGCATCTTGTTGGAATATCTCATTAATCACAAATTCTATAAGATTTCTAGAGTGGATGAGCAAATCTTCAGAGTTTCCAAAAGTTCTGCACTATATAGGCATATTAGAAGGCTCTTATTTCTCCTTCAGGATGTATTTCTTAATGAGCAGGTTTTACATTAGTTCTTGCTGCTTGGATCTGAATGTTTGTAATTGTCTCAGCAAAGGAGGGCTTTAAAACAGGAGCTGGAGGTTTGTGATTCAAAATAGAGTACCAAGGCAGTGACAAACTGGGAGAAATTTGGAATACTTAGTGGAGGCAAAGTAGCATTAGAAGATTCATTGTTTCTGTTGGAGTTCAAACTTTGCCAATGCAAAATCAAATAATAACCACAGGAAAAAGATGTTCTTCATTTGTGCCTGGTTAGCAGTGTAGTTATGTAAAAAACATGGCATAGCAGTCTTTTTCAGTCCTGACCCTTAGCCAGTTACTATCGCGGGTAACCGTACTAAAATCTTTTGGAGCAGATTTCTGGCTCGGGGTGCATTTACTGCAGTATGCTTTAGCTGGTATTGCACATGACGCATGCTACTGATGAAAGGAAATTGAGATAACCGATATTTGACTAAATCCTCACTGTTTTGATATGTGGGAAGCATGACAGAATAGACTTCAACTACTCTTCTGCTGAGTTTAATTAAGATAAGATACTTGCTGCAATTCATGTAAGATATGAGGAGCCAGTGTAATAAGTATCCCTTGTTAGAATAAATTAATCAGAATTTGTGGAATTCAAGTTCTCTGTCCAGACTTATGGGAAAGAATCTCAGCTTTCATCAGGAGAATAAATGTTTAGCTTTAGATTGGAAAGAAAAAAAAACCCTGAAAATGTCAAGTCAGTTTATGAGATAATCCTGATTTTTTTTCTGGTAATCATAGTTCCTCCCATTTATGACTATTTTGGGGCCTCAGTTACTGGAATAGTTTCAAATGTTCTTCATCTCTGACACCACTAGAATTTTTAGTGAGATAGCTGAATCGCAGGCTATAGGGTTATAGAAATGTAAGTTGCTAACTCTTGGCTGTGCTACTTGCATCCCTTTTTCTTCTGCCAGCTGCAATGCTGGTTGGATCCTTTCCTGGCCATTTCACCCTTTCATATGGCATAAACTAATCTGATAAATGAACTAAAAGCTATTCTGTTTCTTTAGCGTGATGAAACACATGACTTGTGCAGTGAACAGAGGTGCCAGGCTGAAGATGATGCTATACATAGTAGTTAAATAGACTTAGGCTGCCATAAAACTATAGCCTTAGGCAGTGGAGAGCTATTGTCTGCAACCTCTAGCACTTGGCTTATCTTCATGCGGGCAGATGACCTTTCTGAATGCTTCTCTTGAAGTCATGTGAAAACTACAAACGACTACTAGCAGAAGGAGTCCAAAAAGTTACCTTCAGTGATTGGGGGTGGCTCTCATAGCTTGATATGACCGCTTACCATGTATGGAAGTGGGAGTTTCCATATGCATTCTTTTTTAAATAAGCTCTGGTATTTATTTGAGCCCTCTGAGTCCTTTCAACTATGTATCTGAGCTGGTGGAAGATACCTAGCTTCCCATCTTCCCTGCCGTTGTCCCAAAGGGAAGAGTTAGAGAGTTAGAGCAGCTCTCTGAGAAGTCCAGTAAGCTGTGGAGATGGCCATAACCAGTGACAAAGAAGGGAGCAAGACCTTCCCATCTCTCTGGCAACAAGCTATTACTCTGTAACCTATCATTAAATCTACCTTGTATCAAAATATGCAGAGCTTGAGAAAGAGGCCTGAAAATGGTACTCATCTAATGCCCAGCTTACTCCACTAGTATTTTGCCAGTTTCCGATTCGGCTTCATCAGTTGATGTTAGCGTATCAATCATGTGACATTATCAGGATTCTGTAAACTGTTCACTAACACCAAACACTTAATTGAAACGTGGAAGCACAAATCATATTCTTTTTTTTTAACTCTGAGTATAGGAAAAAAGGCAGAAGAAAGCTTCTGAATCATATTAGTTTGATCCCTGGCTTTTTAAATGTCAATTTAAAGTCACAAACAGTGCCTGATTCATCCTGCTTTCTGAAATTTGATGTCTTTGAACAAAATGGCATCAATTTAAAACTTCGTGGTTACTTGGCGAGAGGTAATGCGACAACTGCTTTTTCTATAGTTGTGGTTTACTAACCTCGTTTAGCTTTTTGTTTTTAAAGACTGTACCAAAGCAAACTAGACTTTATATCTGGTCACATTTAAACTAGTATACCTCAGGACAGGTATAGGCTGGGGAAGGCCTCCTTGGAAACAGTTACTTGAAGAGGTGTTGGAGGTGACTGGGTAATCCAGCTGTGAACATTAGCATTTAGTGAAGCTCTGACCAGTGGAGCCTTAGGTATAAGAACAGAGGAGTCTTAACAGGCAAGGTAGTAGTACATGTCTTCCGCAGCTGGCACTGCTACAGCTACTTTTGGAATTCAGAAAGGGTTGCCAGCACACTGGAAAAAGATCAGAGTCTGAACATGAGTTAAAGGCATATTTTCAGTCTCAAAAATGAATGCAGGTGCTGCATTTGTTTAACGTCTTGAAAGGATACATTTATCAAGTAACAACTTAATCAGAATTTATTGACATAGGTTCTTAGCTTATAGGGTCTAGCCTGCGAAAGCATAACAAAAATCTAAGTGACTGCTACAGTAGGAAGTTGTACAAATTTACTGTGTATGTAAGTACTGTGTGGGACAGCTGATCCAGTGACGCTTCTCTTACTGTCAGTCTTTAAAACAAGACTGGGTAACCATTATGTAGATTTGAATTCTTCTTTCTGTTTCTTTTCTTTAACAGAGAGTAGGTGGCTATGCTAAATGGGTCAGGCTGGGTGATCATCCCCTCTGCCCTGTATATGTGGGTATACTGCAGCTTTACAGATGGGAAAGAAGCTTTTTTAGTTCTAGCTCAGGAAACTTCCTTGAAAGTACAAAAATCTTGCAAGCATTTGTATTAGACTAACCAAAGTGGTCTTTGTCTTGACATAAGATGTGATTGTTCATCTGTTTACATTTGGATATAAAAAGCTGTAGAATTAGTAACTGCATGTTAAATTTAGACTGTAAGAGTTTATGTGAGTTGTTTTGAATGAGTAGTGATATGAAAATCATTCTACTATCAAAAATACTTTCCCTACTTGAGAAATCTTTTCTATTAATATTGTCTTAACCTTATAAAACCTTAATATTCATTACGAGTATGAAAAAATGTGAACTCTGTTATAGATGGCTTACTTGCATTTTCTCTATAGGAAAATTCTTTAAATGTTTGGGGTGGTTTTTAGGTAAGTTACTTGCATAATTTTATTGCCAATTGTGAAAACATACATTCTGTCCCAATGTCATTTCAACAAAGTATTTCTCAAGGGAACTGCAGAAAAGACATTTAATCGGAAGGGTTTGCAAAGCATGCAGAAAATAATGGATTACAAGAAACTTTCCAGCATGCTCCTAAAGTTTATGTTCTTGCATTTCTGTTATGTGGAAGAGTATTGTAAGTATTGATATGCAAATAAGCACACGCAAAGGGTTTAAATTTTTATAGTGAGGAAGAGTGGGAAGACAGGAGATTTCAAATGCATAGTAAAGGCTAGAAACTTAAAAAAAACCAAACAACCTAATTTCAGCTTTTATCTCAGTGTCTTTATATTATAGACTTCTGGCAATTATGTTTAGAAAAAAGGTTTTTCTTTATTGATGCACAATTCTTTATTCTCAAGTCTGAGGTCAGTAATGTTTGTCAGATAAGTGTCTGTAATGGCTTTTTACGGAGACATTTAAATAAAGCTATATAAATGTAGGAGCTTTACTGGTCTATAGCTCTGTTGCATGGTTGGGATTTTTCCTTGCAGCTTGTGTGAATGTGGATCCATGATGACCAATAGAAGACTCTGGGCAAGTGATGAGGCAGGATTGTGATAATGCAGCCTTGCAGTAATACGTTAACTGAAAGTTATCATGAAAAAGGTACACTAGTCTGTCATATACAGATAAATTTTACTCAAATGAGTTGTCAGTTTACAATAGGAAATTTATTTGTCATACCTCTGTTTTTGAGACCTCTAAGTGTCTCTAGTTCTGAACTTGCTTGGTAGCATCTCACTACTGCGGATGTATTTGTGTATACCAATGTAATTAAAAATACAGAAATTTGGGCAATTGGAGGTTTTTGCAGATCAGAGAAACAGTTTTTCTGGCATTTGCTGTGACTTTCTACTGCTAAATACCTTAGTGTTTAAAAGAAATGAAATGCAAAGTAATCACCCCAAACAAGCTGGACACTACATCAGGAAAAGGTGACAAGGAATTAGAATGGCAATTTATCTGAAGGAATAGAGAAGAAATGACAAATCAGTGAAATAGTTGACAAATCAGTTGATGTTTGGATGTTGAACATATAGGAGGGGTTGCAAGTGTATAGTGTTAAATACTGCAGTGACAAACCATGATTTGCAACTGGCTTGTTAAAACCCATGAGGAGATGGTGCCATATGGGAAGAAGGTGATGGAGTTGAAAGAAATGGTATCAATGAGAGGATGTGGAGAGGTTGATAAGATAACATTTTTAAAGCCATAGTGAGAAATTAAGGCATCAGGTGCCAGTTTTCATTGTAAAAATGAATTTGTCTCTGTAAGTGATATTGCCTCTACAATCACTAGCTGAAGCTTATGTGCCTCTAGCCTTCATTTTAGAATTAAATGACCACTTTGAGGTTACAGTATCATCAAGCAGCTGATCCTTGAAGGAATCAAGACACCTGAATATTCCCTAGGTTCTTTCTTCCAGTGAGTTCTCTGGTGATTTTTTTCACTTGTCTCTACCTCTGGTTTTTTTTTTTTTACCTTTCTCTTATGCAGATAGACCTACCTTCAAACATAATAGCTCCCAGCCTCACTCTTGGTGGCAGTCACTCTGAAGTCTGAACTTCTATACTTGTAGTAAGGAGGAAATACTTGGTTATTCAGGTAGGGCTTGCATATCGCTGTGAAGATGGCTGCATGCTACTAGTGGCATGAGCGTTTGTGAACCTTAATCAAGCTTTGGCACAGAATGTCTCTTCAATTTTTTATATAGTGGAGTCTCCATTTCTTTTCAGATTTAAACCCCTATTGTCATGCAAATATTAGTATATCCTCTGTGAGGCTAGAAATGGGAACTTAACCTTTTGCTTATACGCAATGAAGAGCTTGATGTTACGGTATCTTGGTCCCTCAGTTGTCTGTCCCTATAATCTTGTGAAAATGTATGCAGTTCATTATGCTGTGTCCTCCACTTCAAGGACAGAATATATTGAACAAGTGGACTAATTAGTGGACTGGCAAGCACAGCAGCCCACAGCTAAGCTTTTCGTTTGAAGAAAAGAAAAAAGCTACTTAAAACTGCTACTGAATTAAACCTGCTTGAAATCACTGGAAGATGGGTTCTGTGTAGCGAGCCTGACACATAACTCTTCTCTGAAATGACAGTTTGCCATTGTTTTTTACAATTTGTTGAAATGGTTTGAATTGGGATAAATGCTGCTTGTTGTACTTGGAGTTGAGAGTAAATCTGAGCTTAATACAAAGGGTGAGGGAATCTTTGTATAGAGGCAGTATAATATTGGATGCCCAGCTCTAGCTTCAGTAATTGGAGAGAAGATCCTGGATTCCTTGCTAAGGTTTCTCTCGATAGATTTTTCTAATTAATAGATGAATAAAGTGAAAGCTTTCCATCTCTGTTCTGGTGGTAGAGAGAAGAATTGTCTTTTTATTCTTGTGTCCCTCAAGCTTTGTCAGGACTGGGAGAGGTGTTGTCTGATACTCCTCTATTCCTGTGGCCATTTTAAGGAATGTTTTCAACTGCTAGTATGTCCTGTCTTCTATTTATCACTGTCTGTCCTGAGGATGAAAAGTGCTAATTTCTTCAGCTGTTGGTAGCCTTCCTAACAACAACAACAAAAAAAGCAGTGAGGGTGTTTGCTGGTTTACTTCTGTGTTGACCAGAAGCTTTGAGCCAGATGGTCTACCATGGTAGTGTCTGCCATAAAGATGACCATCATTTTGGTTTTGGGTAGGTGTTGGGACCAGATGACCTCCAGCAGTCCCTTCTAGTCTAAAGCAGTCGTTTGAGTCATTACATCTGAATGATATGAGAGATGTATTTCTTGATTTGTGGAAGTGGGATTAATTCAGTGTAGCAGAAAATGTGGACTTTTCTCACATTGTTTCCTTTTTCTTCCTCCACAACTGGGCAGGAAGGAACAGCCAGCAAAGAAAACGCGGTGACTAGACACGTCTTGCTCATTAATGCTTTGCTGGGTGGGTCATAGTCAGCAAAACTAGTTGGAATCTTGCAGGTTTTTTGTATGGTTATAAGATACTTAAGTATAAAATGCATGATTATCAGGTGATGTTAGGAAATGTTACTCAGCATACGCATTTTAAATAGGAATGCAAACAAGTTTGTGGTGATTAAGACATGGATACTTGAGTAGAGGGAAATTTCAGTGTGAAGTGGATGAATGTTTCTGCTTCTTGTTAATTGAACTGTAGCTGTAAATGAAATACACTTCAGTTGTCCAAAAAAATACAGTTTTTAAAGCTGGAATTTCAAACAGCCTTTCCTAATCAGCTCGATTAGTTGGTATAGTTTCAGATAATAGGCTTCTCCTTTTATTTGTCTTTTACATGCTAAACTCCAAGACCTAGGCATAATATGCTGCGCATGGGAGATATTAAGTATTGTCCAGTGCAGTAGTCCTCTATGGTCTCTCAGGACTCTCTATTTACACATTGCAACCTGCTCTTAGAAGTTTACTCATTGCTGTTACTTATCAGGTAGCAATATGAGAGATGACTAGCCTGTTTTGAGAGCTATGTACTCATTGCTGAAGAATCAGTGTGTGCTACTTATGGCAGCCAGGTAAGGGTTACTTAAGGGTTTCTTCTGGAGTGGATATTTTATCATGAAAAACAAAGCTCAGTTGAGATGTGAACTGAACCTGCTGGATTCTTTTAAGTGAGCTTACCATGGAGCTTCGGAATGCCATGGGCATATTTTGTCTACAGTTATACATAGATGACCCTTTCCAGAGGTCAGGAAACAGTTCCAGGGTGGGAATTAGCTGTTTTAGGAGACTGTTGAAGACCAGGAAAGCCAAGCTTCCATTACTGTAATAAATGTTTTAACTCAGGAAGTCCGTAAGCTCAAATGTGATTGTTAAAGTTTTCATAAAAGCTGAATACTTTCTGCTTTTAAAAAATGTAATGTTTAAAAAGCAATGTCATGCTTTTTTGCTTTTGTTCTGGGAGATGTGGGGAGGAGTAAAATACAGATGAGTGCTTTTTCAGAGGAGCCTTTTTTAAATGAAAAGGGAGTGCTGGTGACTGAAGAGAGTTGTCTAACTGAAAAGCCCCTGAGCTAACTTTTAGGATTAAATGTGGTAATGGATCCTCAGGTAATCTGTTTACTCACTTCTAAGAGGCTTCAAAAGGAAACCGAGGAAAGTAAGTTTCCTGAATTTGCAGCACTGTGCTTGCAATCCTGTTGTAAAATGTTTAGGCTCCACAAATCAAAAAAGAGAGGATTGCCTAAACTCGTGTGTTCTACCAGTTTGCTTTGTCTGTTTCTGATTAAGGCAATGAACTTCAGATTATGAGGTTATACTGAGGTGAAATCTATGTTGTAGCCCTTCTGAAAATACAAATATTTTTCTGTTTTCCCACTATTTAATGCTGTGTAAACCAGAGTGTTACTGACCTTTTGTCAAGGATCATGCAGACTTTAGTTCTTATTTCTTTGCAGTAAGCATTGCATAATGTGCATTTGAGTCAGATTCTCACGACGACTCCTAGATGTCTGAAACCACCTAATGACTAACAGTTAGTTGAGATGTCCAAAATAAGAGTTAAGATTGGTAGTATTTTAAAGACTGTTTCTGAAGTTTGGTTGCATTTTTAGCTCTTAGAGATTTCCTATATGGCCTTCTTTAAACCAGCTATGCATCTTTACCCATATATAGGGGTGTTGCGATAATATTTATTCTTTAGCTCAGAGGAACCATATTTAATTAACAAATATATATAGAAATGAAATCATCAATGTAAATGTAAAAGCAGTATAAATCTTTGCTGTTTGCTAAATATGGTAAATACTCAAACCTGAATGCCAAATATCTTTCAGAGCATTTATAACTAAACATGAATTTGGAATCCTTTCAAACATAAATGGTTGAGACTTTGTATGTTCCACGTGAGACCTCCATCCTCGTGTCTGTTCAGTCTTCAGCCTATTTGAAAAGATTTACATTCTCTTTCAGGACTAAATTTATTGTGTACGTAGATCAACTATTTTGCACAGCTTGTGCACGTTTCCCATCTGCAGTTCCTTGTTTCCAGCATTCGAGGAGCAGCTGTGGAAGAGGAAGTTGGAAGAACAGATTATTATAGGTCTTAGCCACATTTTCCCAGGTTCTTGTTTGCTATTTGGCTCCAGACTCTAGGTGGTGATGCTCTGTTCTTGGTCACTATTTTCCCCTGGTTTCTTTTGACTTCTTGCCTATGATACGGCAGGATAGGCACAAAGAAGAGATTGCAGAATCCGTAAAAAAGACGACGGGAAGAAGTTAGCCACTGTCCTCACAGCAATTTGTTTGGGCTACTGGAAGTGGCTTGGGGAACAGATGAAATATTGCAAATGTTTACCTGTTGTTTTGAGCACTCAGCCTAGGATATTTAGGCATGCTGCTGGCATGGCTTCTTTCTTTTCAATCCTACTTGCTGCAAAATTAAGTATTTTTGTTATGTATGCCACAGGTGTTCCAGAAATGTGCTCTCTGCCTGCCTCTTTTCATACCTCACATGCAACTCTCGATGACTGATTTATTGCTTAAAACTGGGGAGCAGTCAGACTATTCCATATTCCAGTAGGCTTATGCTGTTGTTGTTTTCCCTTTTTTTCCGTTCATGATGCTAAATACCATAATTTCTGTTGCCTTTGGAGGATGAAGATCAGGATAAGTAAAGCTTTATTCTAACTTGTCTATGTTCTGCTGTTGATATAAGTTAATATTATGGAGCCGTGGAAGTATCTGGGTTCTTGTATGATTTTAAAATTTCTGTGTGCTTTCCTTTCTGCTGGTGACAGGGGAAGCCTGGTATGTGCCTAGTAAGAGCATATAGTTTCAGTCTTCCCAAATTTCCCTAAAATTTTTAATTCATGTTCTGGGTGTAGTCTTTCCCTATAGTATTTATCTTTATACATTTCATCTTTGGCCTCAGACAACTTTAAAATCTTGTTAGCACTGGTCAAAGGAGCTGTCTGCTGCTCTAGGAGAGAGGATGTTTTGGCAGGTTTGTGCTGTCATTTCTATTTCTGTTTCTTCTCTTTTCATGAATCCAGACAAGGTTTTGTAACCAGTGTCTGCTGATATCTTGATACTTGCTTGAACATCATATCTGTTCTTTTGTGCTTGTTTTCCTTATTCATTTTCCCATCAGTATGTTTCTGAGGTCCATACAGTTTTTATCCTGTGATGCCAATGATATGATGTATGCGAAACAATCCCAAAATAAAGACTGTTAGAAGAGCCTTGGCTGAAAAGGGATTCTGGTGCACTTCATGCAATATATACCCAAACTTTCATTTCTGATACATATTAATCTATTACCAGAGAGCTTTAAGAACAGAAACAAACAGTCCAATCCAGATCTTCACTATTCTTGGTATGAGAAAGAATTTGGTAGTATCAGTTCTGTTGATCTTTTAAAGGGAAAGAAATAGCAGATCAGAGTGCACATTTATATACCTGTTATTTTTGCACAACTAAGGCTATCTAAAAATTATGATTTCTTCTAAATGACAGGCTTTTGATTGCTCAACCTCAATTGTTTTATGTTGGAATAGTGCAAGGTAACAGCAAGAAAATGAGAGCAAAAATGCATATGTCGTATTTTTTCTAAAGATGGGTCTTTTCTGAAAACAGGCA